TTATTCTTGCGAGTTTACTGTTTCCTAGTGGAAGTGACCAAGGAATGTTTTCTTTTTCTATAAAGCCAACTTCGATTACTGCCAATGCCTTGTATTGTGAACGTTTGATTCGTATAATGTGCAGTTTCTTGAAACTTCTACACATGTATCTTATTTCTTTTTCATTAATATCTGGAGGGAGATCCCAAATCGTTAGAAGTCTTGATGCCTTTTTATCATCATCTTTCTCCTTTTCACTTAGGTCTTCTTCACTAATATCATTGCAATGGTTGTAATTGGCTTCTTTTTTGTACTTATTATTCTGCTCGAAGTTTTCTTTAGCTACACTTTCTTCTTCTTCTGGGATGATGATTAACCACTCTTCTTTTTTCTTAACCTTTTCAATTGCTGCACATCTATTGTGTTCACAGTCGAAGTCTATTATCACCCAGTTGTTCCCTCTCTTAAACTCTTCCCTAATTGCTTTTATGTGCTTGTTGCCTCTTAGTACCCATCTTAAATAGTTTACTCTGTCTTTACTATTCTCCCCTGGCACATTATATGCTGGTACATTTGCTTTAAATGAGTTCTTACGATTGCACTCTCTGTTTTCTGGTGCCCACAAACTATCTTCTAATGGGACTGATGTTGCTATTATTTGGTTTTCTAAAGCTGTTAAACTTGCATCCTCTTCTACTTTCAGCTTATGGATCTCTTTTTGGACTTCTTCTTCGTATGCTTTCTTGCTGTCTTGAAGTATGTTCTCCAGAGGTATTTTTTGGTTTTTCTTAGCTTTCTTCTCCTTTATTCTTGTCTCGTCTGATTTTTTTTCCTTGCTTTTTGCTGAAGTGTTAATATCTTTGACTTGTTCAGCATTTTTAAGTAAACTTGGTTCTTCTTCTAACCCCATAAGCTCTTCTTCTTGTCGTCGTTTTCTTATATCTATATCATGAGCTTTTTCCACTTTGCTCTCTTTCTCAACACCTTCCATCTTGTTTGTTTCTTTTTGAATTTGTGGTTTGCTCATGTTTGTTAAATGGTCTACTGCCTCTGAGTTTTCATAAGTCGTTTTGACCTTTGTTGCCCATTCTTTAATTAATGGATCGTCTGGCATTCTACTCTCTCTTTGTCTTAGCAGACTCAATATCTAACCGTATATCAGGAGGTCCATTGTTGTAATTTTATCTGGATTTACTATTGCTAGACCCTTGGCTATATGTTCACAATCGTCTGGATCATGTGGCATTGTTGTCTTTAATTCTTCAGTTAATATCTCACAGGCTATATATCTTAAATTTCTATCACCTAATCCACGGATGCAATACAACATCCCTTGTTTGTGTAACTCTTCCATCTTATCTGTTATATCTAATCTAAAAAAAAGAATTTTGTTTATCGATACTTAACTGAATATGATTGCTAATCTAATTTGCACGTGACTTGTTTGTTTGTTGTTGCTGCACGTATACTAATCTTTTCTAAAAGTAGAACGTGTTTGTTTGTTTGTTGCTATCTGCTCGTCACGTGTTCAATGCTTTTGTTTTTCCGAGGTAGAGCTAATTTTCCCCAATTTTTGTAAAAATTTTCCTAAATTTGTTGAAAGACGCAAAATACACTAGCTGTCTAAATTTTTACAAGCTTGTGTTCTATTTAAGTCTATGTTTTTTACACCACTGAGTCTTTTCTCTTAGAGTTCCAGTTGTTGTTTTCTAGTCTAGTTTCCTAGTTTTGCTTGTGTTTTGTTTAGCGTTGCTTTTGGTACTGATGATCAGCAAAGAGAGTGTTGATATTATATAGTATTAAAAATTTATAAATTTATATTTACTATATAAACACTATAAATATATAGATTGCTATTAATAAAAATTAGATATTTTTTAAAAAAAATTATATCTTATCTTTTTTTTTTTTTTATTTCAATAATATCAGAGTAGAAACTTTATTACATTTTAGAAAACAGAAGTTCTAAGATTAAAAAGATTTCTAACTACATTTGTGCTACAAATTTGTCACCCAATGTGACATTACACCCCCTATTTCCTATAAATGCTATCTACTAATTATTTCAAATTAGGTTTAAGCTAGGATAGGTTGGAGGAAACCTAAGGTGTTTGTTACTGAAGTTAAAGAAAACATGTTGTTAGTGAAGAGCCTTGTAAAAACCACTTTTTAATATGAGAAGAGGTATTAATTAGTTGATTGATAGTTGTAATATTAGTTGGTAAATTTGAAGAAGTTGGTAAAATTATTTTTGCTCGTTTAGTTTTGAATGTAATGTTTCGAGCTTGTTCCCATTGATGTTGATATATATTACATGTAAACCAAAGTTTATGAAAGTACATATTAAGCAGATTGTTAGAAAGATTTAGGAGTAGAGAGTTAGTTTGTTTGTTTGCAATTTCTTTAATATTGTTGTATGTAGTAATAGTATAAGTGCCTGTGATAGCATGAAGGATATGTTTGTATTGAGGGTTTGGTGAATTAAGTGTGAATTGTAAAAGAATATTGAGTAATGTCATCGGTAATATGTTTGAAATTTGTAAAGAAAAGAGAGTTTCATGTATTAAATTGTTGAGTGATTGAAGTATATCAGTTTCATTTTTTGAACAAAGAAATTATCTTATCTTTTATAGCTCATATTTTAATAAATTTTGAAACTTATTTAATTACTAAAAAGCTAAAAAAAGTTTAGATCTTAATTTTTCTTTTAAACATTAAATAATTAAACTAGTTTCTAAAATTATTAATTTGTCTGATTTCTATTAACAACAGTCTATATTATTTCTAATGAGAGAGTTAAAAAATAATGATTAGATTACATATATACTAGAGAAGATATAGAATAGTGATCAGGTTATATATACTAAAAAAATATAAAATAATGATCAAATTATACTTACTAAAAAATAAATCACAGTATAAGTTATATAGTAAGTAAAACTCATATATATTTTATTATATTCTAATAACTAATTTTATTTTTAGATATAACAATCTGTATTAGTAGAAATAACATAATTATGTTATTTCTACTTAATCTAGGTTATGTCTGACAATGGGATCATATGCCTGTTGTCATTTGAGTGATGAATGATTCGCACTTGCATCATCAGAGATATATTAGTATTCACTTTATTATTCGAGTAATGAATGATTCATGCTTGTATCATTATTTGAGTGATGATAAATTTGAGTTCACATCATCATTTGAGTGGTATTTCCCAATTTAGGTTATGCTCAAGTGACAATTAGTTAATAAATTCATCATCATGTATCTTTTTTCGTCAGTAGTAGGCCACTCAAGTAAAATTTCTCTTTTCTTTCCTATATATAATTCTGCTTGAGTGGGTTACTATTGTTACAGGATTGCAGCCTTCTTGGTATAATACAACCAAGTAACAAGGTCACTCAGTATAGTGATTGACTATTGCAAATATATATAGGGTGAAGGTGTAGTAGTTCACTTTACTACACAGCAGCAGGCAAACGGTTTAAGATAATAACAGTATATAAATTAGCTTTTTATTAAGAACATATATGGTGACAACCTTGCCTGTAGGAATTACCCTAGAGGAGGAATATCATCTTTATAATCAAAAGGTCATTAGGTCTGGGTTGAAGTGTAGGAACTTGGAATTGG